ATTCACAAAAGTTATGAATGGTTTTTGAAATTGTGGTAGAAAATTTCTTGCAACATTTCGAGGGGGAGAAAGAAATATTAGATAAATTAAGAATGATGAAACTCCCCTATACTTTAGATGATGTGATGCACATTATGCATCTAAAGTGATCCATTAATGAAGAATGTGATCGTCTGGGGGAGTACGACGGTCATAATAATACCCCTAAAGAATAGAAATAGTTGGATCCCTGGATCTTTTATAGTTTCAACAGCAGACTAAGGAATACTAAGACGGTGCTTAAAAGTGCCATAAAGAAGAAAGTTTTAACAGAATAAACCCAAATAATAAAGTTTAAAGATACCCCATTTTAGTGAAGATGGAGTAAATCTGGGGGAGCATGGTATGAAAATACCAAAGACTATAGAATTAATTTGCTTCTTGGCAATGACAAAGCAACAACAGCCCCATATGAAAGAAGTGCTAGTACCTAAGACACAGATGGTCTTAAGGAATGAGAAAATCAGATACTTCTGATTACTATAAAGTCTATGTTAGTGAAATTCAAATGGAGGTTGATCACACCTCATTTAAAGCGCTCAATCGAGTTTTGAGACTCATAAGTAATTTTCAATGGAGCCAAAATAGTAGGCTGTAAAGGGTCTACAAGGTCAATGTGACTCCAAAGGAAATATGTAAAGGTGTAAAGCACGACTTAAATTGAAAGTTTTGTGCATGATCTGAGTTACATCAGATGAAAGTAAAGAACACAAGGGATGCTGCTTCAAGAAGTCTTTTATGGACTAGAGCAAGTCTCTAGGCAGTGGCATTTAAAGTTAAAAGAATCATATGTTATTTTGGGTTAAAGAAAATGAGAGGACAATTTTATTCGTGCAAAGTTATAGAATGGGAAATTCATTTCCTAATCCTATGCATGTGGATGACATCCTACTTGCTAGTGGTGATGTCAACCTACTACGAGAGGAGAAAAGAAGTTCTTGTCCTCAAAGTTCAAAAGAATGTTCTCGGTAGAGTGTCTCTCATTATAAGTAACGAGATTCACGAAGAAAAGAATAAAAGGGGGGTATTAGGGATGTCGAATGGACATGCTAAGAAATAGGTCTCTAAAGTATGCATGCGAGAAAACCTACGCTTGTTCTTATAGTCAAGGGTAATGGAACTGGAAACTATGGTGTTCCAAGAGTTGATGAGAAAAGATTGAAAACGGATATGGTACCATATGCTTGAGTTGTTGGAAGCTCAATACATTACCCTGACACAGTTCACGTATCCGGATTGTTTTGGCAATGTCCAGTCCATATATAGATCACTGGAATGGATTCAAAGATATCGGCCTCATGCTGAAAGAAATAAGTGCTCTCAAAAGATTGTGAGTACAAAGACAGGACTTGTGAAATGTATAGCGAAATCCACAATTGTCGCTAATTTTCATACTTGGAGGTTTTTGTGTGGAAAAGCTCCAAAGAATGAAACAACTATCATCAATGTGATGCAAGGATATTTTATAGCTTGATATGAGGCTGAGGGACAGGCAAAATGGTTAAAGAGACCTGTACCCGGAGTTGATAATGGTTGACAACAGCGATAACCATTTTAATTTTTTCGCTACTATGACAACGAGTCAAGTGTTGATGCCAAACACATTGACTCAGAGTTATGTGTTGTAAAGGAGAAAGTCCAAAATTATGTAGAAATGCTTGAAGCATAAAAGCAACAGAGAAGTGTTTGCAGATCTGCTTATTAAAGGCTTACCGCCCGGTGTGTTCGAAGAACACACAGTCGACATGGGTTTTATGGTATAGTCTAACATTCCCGGACAATAAAGGGTCCAAGGTTAAAGAATTTGTTTCAAAACAGAGAGGTACGTTGTGGCTGTCTGATTCTATCGGCAATTGAGTTGTAACCATGAAACATGTTCTATGTATTGATCTGTTATGAAACGAGTAAAGTAAAAGTATAAGGTCAAAAGTAAAAATTGAGATCAAGGGGAAGAATGTTAGGATGATCTCCACTGCATGGGCCCAACGGCCCACCAGGCCCTTAGATCCGCGCCCTGATCGAGGGCGCTCAACCCACTATGGGTGACGGGCCCTTGTCACCTGCACTATATAAAGAGGTGGGGGCCGGCGGCTCGCTACATGAGGTTCGTTACGACGCCGCACACCCCACCTAAATCCCCTATCGATCTAGGGTTAGTGCAGTGCTGACGGGAAGCACCGCCATCGCTACTCTTTGCCATCACCGGCCACCGTCACCATGGCCGGCACCGGAACCTCCTCGAGCCACAAGTGAAGGTAGGACCACCGATCTAATCTAGCCTAACCGATCTACAATCACAACAGCTGCATGCATCGTCTAGATGCAGAGGCCGGGGGTCCTCCTCCATTTCTAAAAAAAATATTGCATACAGTTGCTTCTCAGAAATTAGTATACACACGAACTTGCAAATTAGCTGATCTGCAGGCGGTGAGTTTGAGGTCTGCGTTCTTCCAAATTGCTTAATTGTAGTGGTGCTTGCTCACAGGTTCACACGTCTTCCTTGTCCCAACTTCCTTACAGCTACCGCGTCTGCGTTATTGCTTCAGATGGAGCCGAATTTGTAAATATTTACCACTCCAGTTGTCCGAAACAACCTGCCAACCGAGCATGCATACGAACTCCCAAGTCTTCATGCTGCCGCCTCTCAGATCAGGTCCACGCCGAGTGAATTGGCTGCTATTGTCCCTGGGGCAAAAATAAATAAATCAAATTCCTTGTGCATGTCTTGGAAAGAAGCTTTTATCGATGCTGGCCATGGATCCAGGTACGCAAGGTTGAAGTCGCTTACATGGTGCAAACACCTGTATCTCTCTCTGTTCCGAGTGTTCCTGCACCAACACACACAAAAAATGCAGCTGCAAGCCTCTACTTTCTTTGTTACTCCCTCCATCCCATAATATAAGAGCGTTTTTGCTTATATATTATGGACAGAGGGAGTATCTCTCAGTAGACTTGTCTAATCAAGAGTGATGCTCTTTGTATGATTGAGATTATATGCATGCATGCATCATCTTTTACTCTCTCCGTTTCTAAATATTTGTTTTTTTAGAAATTTTAAATGGACTACCACATGCGAATGTATTATATAGACATATTTTAGAGTATAGATTCACTCATTTTGCTTCGTATGTAGTCACTTGTTGAAATGTGCTAGTTCAATGTTTTGACAGAAGCACGCGGTGTAATTCCATTAATTTTTGGATTTCGATCGTATCTAAGATCCTTTTCTTTTATCTAGGTTGTTAACTCAATGGTAGAGTACTCGGTTTTTAAGTGCGGCTTGTTGAAATTTCTAGAAAGACAAATATTCAGAAACGGAGGGAGTAGATTCGATTGCAAATGGAAAGAGCCCTAAGTAGTAACACAAGAGTTGAAGTGCATGTGAGACGAAACTTCATGCCAAGACTTTGGTCGTCGGTCTTGGCACATGCAGCAGCACCAGTCGTGCTACTGCCTAATTAACCACGCAACACTAGTAGAAAAAGGGGGCTTTGGTCCAGGCTGGGTAACCCCATTAATCCCGGTTCAGTCCAGAACCGAGACCAATGGGTGCATTAGTCCCGGTTCGTGCGGCTAAGGCATTAGTCTCGGTTCACTTTGGCTCTTTAGTCCCGGTTCATGCCACGAACCGGGACTAAAGGGTGCAATGCCCATTAGTCCTGGTTGGTGGCACCAACCGAGACTAAAGGTCTAACCTTTAGTACCGGTTGGTGCCACCAACCGGGACTAATGGCCTTTGAGG